GAGAGAGAGAGTGTGTGAGAGTGTGTGTGTGTGAGAGTGTGTGTGTGTGAGAGAGCGAGAGTGTGAGAGAGCGAGAGTGTGAGAGAGCGAGAGTGTGAGAGAGCGAGAGTGTGAGAGAGCGAGAGTGTGTGAGAGCGAGAGTGTGTGAGAGAGAGAGCGAGAGTGTGTGAGAGAGAGAGAGAGAGATAAAGCACGCAGGGCCTTCTACGCCATAAAACGGCAATGTCCTATAGAAATCCCGTGTGTGTGTGTGTGTGAGAGAGTGAGTGTGTGTGTGTGTGTGAGAGAGAGTGAGTGTGTGTGAGAGAGAGTGAGTGTGTGTGTGTGTGTGTGAGTGATTGTATCTTTGACACACTCTGGTATAATATTTGTGCATGTGAGTTGATAATATGTAATGCAGTTTATAAAGACGTTTCTTCTGTACCCGTTCAGGATTTGCTGATGGACACTCAGCGGTATATTCATATAATGTTGTCTTTAAATGGAATTGTTAGACAGTGACAAATGGCTCCTCAGACAGAGTGACCATGTTTAAGCTTTATTGGATCATTTAAAGACTGACATTGTGTTAAACGTCTCCTGACTGAACGCCTCCGTCGGTATGAAGCATCTCTGAAACCCAGCAGACAATGTAGCTGTAGTTTAACAAACAGATCTCTACACTGTATGCCAGGTTCAGGACCGCATCAGCCTCGCCTCGTGCTCGTGTTGGTGGTTTTCTTCCACGAGTCTGGTGTTTGCTGTAGTGTTGTGAAGCGCTGCTCAATCACGGACTGACGGCCATCAGAGACCCAGTAGCCAGATGTAGCTGCTGCCGGAGACAGGACCTACACTGACCACTGAGCGAAGGATGGACGTCTGCGTCGCTCTGCTCCTGAGATAACGGAGTTAACAAAACACATGATCTCATGAAGGGAGACGAGTTCATGGGACATGTGTAACTGGCGGGTCGTTCAGCGCCAAAACAGGTGCATTAAACTCAGCCGATTGTATAATAGCCTGGAAGTGAGATGTGGCCTGGAAAATGAGTTCAAACAGACGGCGCAGCCTCAGGGGCCGCCGATGGAAAGTTAAACAGGACGGAAAGCGTTCCAGATTAGGAGCGCTGACTCATGTGTTTGCAGCAGGGTGCGAGACGTCACTCTGGAACCTGAGCTGCCGCTGGAGAGAAACACACTTCAGTGGAGAACCTCGTCCTGCTGTCCTTCTCGTTCTGTCACACAACTGACGTGTGACGCTCTTTTTCCACTCGGCATCTCCTGTTTCCATGATGTCATGTGACACCAGTTTTCCGTGATTTGGCAGAAAGAGGCCTGCTGTCGTGATGATGCTGGATGGCGCTCGCTCATCTCCTGCTCTCTAGCGACCTGTGAACTCTGGAGATGTGAGAGGACGGAACAGGAGGTGTTTAAAGGTGTCATATGATGCTAAAAAATAGCATTACTTTGTGTATTTGGTGAAATGCAATGTGTTTATGCAGTTTAAGGTTTAAAAAAACACATTAGGACAAGACCACGGGAACCAGATGAGTCCTCTGCACAATCTGACTTTGCTGCAGCCTGGAATTAAACTGCTGGTTTCGTCTGGCCAGAGGAGAACAGAACACTATTTCCCTGTTTGATACTGTAAAGCTGCTTTGACACAATCTGCATTGTAAAAAGCGCTATATACATAATAGTGACTTGACTTGACATTATTTATCATAAACCGTACACACAGGTCGCGTTAACCGAAAATTTTCCTTCATTAACGGAAATTTTTTAGCAGTGACGGAAAAATTTGAAGGCCGTCCGTCACTATGACAGATTACACTGAGGGTGATCTACTGTAATTTATAACTGTAATTCCCAGCCCTGTCCAGTGTGGCAGCAGAGCGCCGGATCATCAGCTCCAGAACAAACATAAAACTGTCACCAGTCTTTTCTGTGTGTTTGAGGCGAGTACCCAGTTTAAGCTACAGCAATCTATCACACCACATTAAAGAGCAGCAAAACGGTATTTATTGCTTGAATTTCCTAATAAAATGGACAGAATTTGAAATCTGAGACTGTTTCATATCAAAAGTAACGAAGCACAAAGTTTAGCCTATTGCGATTTATTGAAGGCAAACTATATGTACGGTTCATTCATCAACTAAACCGCATCGATTGGGATTTAAGAATCGATATTGGTTCATAAAAATGAGAATCTATATAAATCTTTTTTTTTTTAAACCCAGCCTTAGCATATTTAGTTGTTTTTACTGGCCTCCGCGGTCACTGCAGGGTGTGTGTTGAACATGACAAGTGATGCAGTCTCTGTTCATCTGTTCTCTTCATAAATAAATAAAGCCTATATACTTGTCCTGTAGGTTCATTATTAAAAATGAAAATGTGAACAAAAAAGCAATTAAATGTTATTATAATTAAAATTACGGGTAATAGATTGACGGAATTTTTACGACCCTGTCCTTCAAAATCTAACGCAACCTTTGACCTTTCATTATTGTTGGTCCTCTCTGACACGCATCGATTTTTACGAAGCTCATGGTTCTGAAAAGCGAGGTGTGCTCTGATTGGTACGCTGTGATTGGCCAAATACCTCAAGTGTGTGACGGAAATGTTACGCCCCTCACCATATTTGGAAACACACAGCGTCTCCACGACAACAATACTACAGCTAGAATAAAAGTTGCGCCTTCTTTGCGTGAACATTTGGGTGGTGTTATGCAGATCTTCCCACACAGTGATGTAGATATGTGGGGCGTGTTTAAACGAGGCGTTTTAGAAAGGCGTGGACGAGTCTTAACTTCTATAAACAATATCTCTTTGGGTTTGAGACTTTAGTCTTTGCAACTTTACGGATCTTATCTATGCACAAACAGCTTGTAACAGTCCAAAGACAAAGGAAAGCTTGAAATCGCATCATATGACCCCTTTAAGCTTTAGGTGAAGCAGGGTACAATCTCTCTCTTTCTTCAGTCGGCGTGTGACCGCTGCTGTTGTTGACTGACTCGTGAGCGCTGATATCGAACAGGAATCGAGACCTGACTGTGTTTCAAGAATAGCCTTCTCTTCCAGCACATCTCTGATCTTACAGCTGTGTTTTAACTGCTGATAAAAGCAGCAGTGGGAAACGGTTGTCACATTGTAAGCGGTGTGTGGAGTTGTGGTGTCGTATTTCACTAAAGACACAGAGATGTGGATCTGACCAATCAGAGCGCTCGTCCCAGCAGCCCATTCATAAAAGCATGCTTTACCCTTCACCCACATGCTCTCACTCTCGCTCACTCACCCGCCATTACTCAGAGAACGAGGACAAACACAATGGCCACGTCTCAGACTCGCTGCTT